CAACGCACCCTCCCGTCCCACGCCCCCTGGATCGGCGTCCCTACAAGCTGCCCTCTTCACTGCAAGAGGCTCCCCCCTCGAAAGACCAGCGCAGTTGGGCTTGCCACTTCGGCGAGGGCACCGTTTCGTAAAAGGAACCACCCTGCACCCTCCTGATGCGCAGTCAGGAGTGTGGAACATCATTGCAACTGCTGCACCACCTTTGAAGAAGGACCCCTTTTGAAAAAGGACCCCCTCGACACTGAAACGCGGATGATCTCCCTCGAGGGAAGGACAGCCACCCATCCGTACACCTGTTGCACAAGTTTAAACGTGTGGTCACGAACTTCAGAGAACCTCAAGTGAGAGCTCCCTCTTGAACCGCAACCTCCCTATATCCGTCCAGTGCTACAGGTGTTGAAATTGCGGGCCTGAGGGACCCATTTCGAAACAAATCACCAATCCGCCCTACCAACTTTGCCACTCAGAAAATACATATACCCGGCGCCCAGACGAGAAGACCACTTTTAGAAGGACCCGCCATCCAACCTTCAGCTTGCTGCAACTCTTAAAAACAAATATGGGCGGCGCTTGGGGCGAGAGCTCCAATGAGCAAGCGGTCCCTTTATATTCTTGAAGCTGTTGCAAATTTCTAAAACAATTGTGCGCGGCACTGAGGCCAAGGCTACATATTGAAACGGAACTGCCCTCTATCCTTGAAGCGGTTTCGAACATGAAAAAAACACGAATGTGCGTGCCGCTGCAGCGAGTGCGAAATTTTGAGAACGACCACCCCGTGAAGCTGTTGAAAACGTGTGAGACGAGTGTGCGCGGCGCTGAAGCGAGAGCCATCTTTTGACAGCCACGCCCCTCTATCGTTGAAGCTGCTACGAACAATTCAGACGAGTGTGCGCTCAAGCGAAAGCCACATGTTGACCCCCTTCTTCCATCCTTGCTGCTGCGAGCTTTCAAAACGAATGTGCGCGGCGCTGAGGCGAGAACCACATGTTGAAAACAACCCGCCTCCCATCCTTGTCACTGCTGTAAACTTCCAGCTTCGTGATCACACATGGCGAGAGGACACGCCCAGCCCGCTCTACCGACACGTCTGGGGGTGCGACAGGGAGGAATCACTTGAGAGGAGAAGGGTTGGAAGATTAGGAAGGGGAAGAGCCAGGCGCTCTTCGAGTCGACAATATGCTTCCTGTCGACGTCGTCGTCGTCCTCCTTCTCCTCCTCATCATCATCCCTCTTCCTTGTGAGTCACTCTTGGAGCATGGGGACATCGCCGCTGCGCCGATGTAGTGGAAACACCACCGCCAGAAAGGAAAGAGACGGTGTCCCTCTCGTTCTCCTCTCTTTTCCTATGAATGGGCGCCGACCCCGAGGCGTCCCCCCTCGCCCGACTCCCACCACCGACTCTCGTCTCCATGTTTTCCCTCCTTCACCCCGGGGGGCATCGGACAAGGCATCAAACCCTCCATGACCCATGTTGCTATGATGAACGCGGGAATTCCCCAAGCTTACAACAGGGCAGCACCCTCTTGCCATGCTAATCTCAAACGTTGGGCGGCAAATCGCGGCCACGAGCTGCTGATGCACGTGCTCAACAGGCCGACCTCGACAGGCCCCTGGCGGATTTAGGCAACCCAAAGCCAAGAGAAACAAAGTTTGGAGCCGCTGCCTGGGATTCGGCGCCCGCTCGCCCATTTCGGGTTCCACAAGTCCTAATCCTCCTCCTCCTCCTTCTCTTCCTCCTCCTCCTCCTCTTCTTCTTCTTCTTCTTCTTCCTCCTCCTCCTCATTTTCCCCCCCCTCCCCCCCTCCCCCTCCTCCCTCCTCCCCCCCTCCTCCTTCTCCTCCTTTTCCTCCTCCTCGCTCCCTCCCTCCCTCCTTCCGGAATTCCCTCCCTCCCTCCCTCCCTCCCCCCCTCCCTCCCTCCCTTCCTTCCTCCCCCTCCTCCTCCAATTCCCCCTTAGCCTTCTCCTGCCCGGATGTCCTCAATGGGGGGCGGAAGGGGGGGGGCGAGGAAATCCCGCAGCGGGATCCAGAACAGAATGCCCTGCCGATCGAGGCGAGGCGGCGGCGGCGGATGAGGATGCCGAACAGGATAATGTGGATCATGTGAAAGCCGCACACGTGGCATACACCAAATCAAACGAGCTTTTCAAGTAACAGCGAGGTGACCTCGTTGCCGATAACTCGCTACTCAGACGAGACGGCGTGGTGCGTAGAGTACCGGGCCCCAGTCCACGGTCAACCCTGCCGAATCGACTCGCATGGGCAACTGGATGGGGGAAACGGCGGGTGAGAACGCAAAAGCCTCGATGCTTACATATCGCCAACGTAACAAGGCGGCGGGTGAGCATGAGCAGGAGGCTGAAGCGGAGTGGGAGGATGCGGGGGAGCATGAGGAGAATTGTCACGGATGTACCCTCAGGCCGTGGGTCGGGCTCACACACCTCAGCCCCTAGGGGAGCGGGGTCTGGCCGATGCGAGAAACCTGCCACGCGGCCTAAAGCGGGGGGCGGAGGACAACAATGATATTGAGGTGCTTAGTGAGGAGCACCGGTCGATGCTCCACCTCTCTATCGCCTTCTCTGTCCACCGCCCCCTCCTCACCCTATGCCCTCTGGTGATCTGGTCAAATCTGGGCTCCTACAGGGTGGCCTCCCAAGTAGGGGAAGCGAACTTGCCTCCGCAGTGGCCCGCGCACATACTGAATCTGTAGCCGTGCACTGCCCAGCGGTTCCCCTCATGGGAGCAATCGGACCCCTAATGAGTCCGCGCGCCTCCTTGCCGCTGAATTTGAGCTCACCGGTAAGCTGCCCAACTCACCGGTGTTCTCTCTAGGCACGGCCGAGAGCCACCCGTTGGGAAAGCTCGACATCATGACGGGCGAGATGCGAGCACGACAGCGCGACTCATGCGGGATACAGTCCCCAGCATGAGGGGTCAACGCATGAGAGGTGCAATCCCCAGCGTGAAGGGTCAACGCACGAGGTAAGGGGGACCAACTCCCCAGCATGAGGGGTCACCTTTCTGTGCTCCTTTGGCGTAGCTGGGGACTGGCATTTGCCCCAGCCCGCGCTCGGACTCCACCCTCCTCTAACCCCCTCTGGCGTGGCTGGAATGGAATTCGCCCCAGCCACGCTCGGATATAGGGTATACAATTGTCTACGCATGTTGCTGCGTATCGCACAAAGCTGCCATCCCACTCAGTGGGATTGTTGATGCCGTAGCTGCTGTCCCACTTAGTGGGACTGTTAGCCTAGCATGTGCTGTCTACCGCTGCCTATTGCTACCCGGACCCCAGGGGTATTCCGTGACACCCTGAGCAGGCGGACAAATCATGCCCCCCCTATTTTTCGGGTTAGGGGTAGCACGCGGGGAGGGCTGCCAATGCATGCCAACGCATGCCAATGCATGCCGATGCATGCCAATGCATGCCAACGCATGCACATGCATGCCAACGTATGCCAATGCATGCCAATGCATGCCAATGCATGCCAATGCATGCCACTGCATGCCTGTGAATGCCTGTGCATGTCAACGCATGCCAGCGCATGCCAACGTATGCAATCGCATGCCAACGCATGCCAATGCCAATGCATGCCAATGCATGCCAATGCATGCCTACGCATGCCAATGCATGCCAATGCATGCCAACGCATGCCAATGCATGCCAACGCACGCCAACGCATATCAAAGCATGCCACAGCATGCCAACGCATGCCAACGCATGCCAACGCATGCCAAAGCATGCCAACGCATGCCAACGCATGCCGATGCATGCCAATGCATGCCAACGCATGCCAATGCTTCCCAACGCATGCCATAGCACGCCAATGCCAATGCATGCCAGCGCATGCCATAATATGCCAATGCATGCCAAGGCATGCCAATGCATGTCAACGCATGCCAATGCATGCCAACGCATGCCAAGGTGAGGGTAGCGCGTGCGGAGAGTGGAGTTGACTACCCGGATTATGGGTAGCACACGGGGAGGGATGACCTATTAGGGGTATGAAGGACAAATGCCACAGCATGGGGGGGTCAACGCATGAGGGGCCAGCTAAGGCCCCAGCATGAGGGGTTAGGGCATGAGGGGCCTAAGCCCCGGCATGAGGGGTCAACGCATGAAGGGCGAAAGCCCCAGCATGAGGGGGTCATCGCATGAGGGGCCAGCTAATGCCCCAGCATGAGTGGGTCAGGGCGTGAAGCGCCTGAAGGGCCAATGCCCTAGCATGAGGGGGTCAACGCATGAGGGGCCAACCAAGGCCCCAGGGCATGAGGGGCCGAAGTCCCGGCATGAGGCGTCAACGCATGAAGGGCCAATGCCCCAACATGAGGGGGTCAACGCATGAAGGGCCAGCCAGGGCCCCAGCATGAGGTGTCAGCGCATGAGGGGCCGAAGCCCCGGCAGGAGGGGTCAACGCATGAAGGGCGAAAACCCCAGCATGAGGGGGTCAACGCATGAGGGGCCAAAGCAAGGGCATGAGGGCTCAACGCATGAAGGGCCAATGCCCACGCATGAGGGGGTCAACGCATGAGGGGCCAGCCAAGGCCCCAGCATGAGGGGTCGACACGTGAGAGGCCATGGCCCCAGCATGGTTTGTCGACGCATGAGGGGCCAATGCCCCAGAATCAGGGGGTCAACGCATGAGTGGCCAAAGCCCGGGCATGAGGGGTCAACGCATGAAGGGCCAATGCCCACGCATGAGGGGGTCAACGCAGGAGGGGCCAGCCAAGGCCCCAGCATGAGGGGTCAGGGCATGCCCAGCATGAGCGGGTCAGCGCATGAGGGGGCAAAGCCCTGGCATGAGGGGTCAACGCATGAAGCGCCGATGCCAGGGCATGAGGGGCCGAAGCCCCGGCATGAGGTGGGCATGATGGGTAAACGCATGAAGGGGCACTGCCGCAGCATGTTGGAGTCAATTCATGAGGGGCCAGCCTAGGCCCCAGCATTGGGGTCAACGCATGAAGGGACCAATGCCCCAGCATGAAGGGGTCAACGCATGAAGGGCCAATGCCCCAACATGAGGGGGTCAACGCATGAGGGGAAACCAAGGCCCCAGCATGAGGCGTCAGGGCATGAGGGGCCGAAGCCCCGGCATGAGGGGTCAACGCATGAAGGGCGAAAGACCCAGCATGAGGGGGTTAACGCATGAGACGCCAGCCAAGACCCCAGAATGAGCGGGTCAGCGCATGAGGGGTCGAAGCCCGGGCAGGAGGCATGAAGGGCCAATGACCCAGCATGAGGGGGTCAACGCATGAGGGGCCAGCCAAGGCCCCAGCATGAGGGGTCGACGCGTGAGAGACCAAGGCCCCAGCATGGTGTGTCGACGCATGAAGGGCAAGCCCCATCATGAGGGGTAATCGGGGATCTTCTGACCCAGGTCAATCCAGACCCGGGTCAGCAGGAAACCAAAAACTGCAATGCAGGAAAAAAAACTGCAATGCAGGTCTTCGCAAACCCGAGTCAGCCAATATGTGCGGCCGCCTCGCGGCCACGAGCGGCTCGCTAACCCGGGTCAGCCAGAGGGGGTCTTCGCAGGATCCTGCAGGATCCGGTGCCTTGGCTGACCCCCGTTTGCACTGACCCCCGTCTCAAGGCTCCCGAGGTAAGAGCATGAGGGAACGAAGCCCCAGCATGAGGGGTCAACGCATATACACAATGCCTGGTGTTGGCAAGACTATCCTCTTCGATAATGCAATGAGGAGGAGAAGGAGACGGGGAGAATGCGGAAGAGGAGCATGAGGAGGATGAGGCGGGGAGGAGGCGGAGGAAGAGGCGGAGGATGATGATGATTATGATGATGGTGATGGTGATGATGACGATGACGATGATGATGACGAAGACATGATGGTGATGAAGATGATGATGATGATGGTGACGATGACGATGACGATGACGATGACAATGACGATGACGATGATGATGATGATGTTGATGATGATAATGCTGGTGACGATGATGATAATGGTGATGATGATGATTATGATGATGATGAAGATGAGGACGCTGACGATGACGATGGCGATGACAATAATGATGACAACGATGATGATGCTGCTGATGATAATGGTGATGGTGATGATGAGGATGAATATTATCACGATGATGACGATGACGATAACGACGATGCTGATGACGATGGCGATGATGATGATGACGATGATGATGATGATGATGATGATGATGATGATGATGATGGTGGTGGTGGTGGTGGTGGTGGTGATGATGCAGATGATGATGATGATGATGATGATGATGATGATGATGATGATGATGATGATGATGATGATGATGATGATGATGATGATGATGGTGCGATGAGGCGGGGGCGGAGGATGATGAGGTGGACGCCAGAGCCCAAGAGCCACCCCACAAATCGGGGGGGGGGGGGGGCGGGTCCTGCTTCCGCAGCCGGCAGAGGCCCGCCAGGTCGCCGTGGGGCGCAAGCTCCAGGACGATGACCTCGCGCCACGGGGCGCAGCGGCCGCGGAGTGCCCTCCCCGCCTCCTTCCGTCCCTCGTGCCCGCCTCCCTCCTCCCTCGCTGCCCTCTCCCCTCATCCTCCCTCCCTCCATCCCTCCCTCCCTCCCTTCCGTCTCGCTTCCCCCGATTCCCTCTTCCTTTCCCTCTCTCTCTCTGTCTGATCCTCTCTATGTATGTATGTATATACGTATGTATGTACGTATGTATGTACGCATATCTGTCTGCCTGTATGTGTGTATGTCTGTATGTCTGTGTGTCTGTCTGCCTGCATATATGTGTGTCTGTATGCCTGTATGTCTGTATGTATGAATGTATGCATGCACGTATGCATGCATGTCTGTATGTACGTCTGTACGTATGTATGTACGTACGTACGTATATGTGTATGTATGTGTATAAGTATGTATACATGTACGTTTGTATACATGTGTATGTATGTATCTGTATGTGTATGTTATTATATGTACGTGCGCATGTATGTACGTATACATATATATATGTGTGCATGCATATGTGTATGTTTGTAGACTTGCAGGTGTGCTTGTGTGTATGTATGTGTGTATGCGTGTATGTGTGTATGTGTGTATGCATGTATGCATATATGCATATGGGCATGTATGTTTGCAGGTATGTATGTATGTGCATGCATGCATTCAAGATTGTATGCAGGTATGGATGCGTGTGTACTTGCATGTATGTATGTATGCATGCACGCAAGCCTGCATGTGTATATATATAAGCATGCATGCATGTGTGGATGCATGTGTGCATGTGTAGATGTAGATGTCGGCGCGTGTGTAGGTGTATATGGTGTTGCATGTGTTTGTGTATGTGTATGTGAATGTGCGTGTGTATGTATATATGTATATATATGCATGTATGTGTATGAATGTATGTGTGTATGTGCGTGTGGGTATACACATGCATGTACACATATGCATATACATAGAAACATACGCACACCTATCCATATACACATATATATATATATGTAAGGCAAACAGTGTTCGCTCTTACTTTTGTTTTAAGGAACTGGGCCTGGGTGCCAGTCAGGCGGCTCCGTGCTCGCCGTCGCGACCCCTTCGCCGCCTCGTCGCCGCCCGTCGTCTGGGCCTGGGTGGCGGTCTGGGGTCTCCGCGTTCGCCGTCGCCCCCTCGTCGCCGCCCGTCGTCTGGGCCTCGGTGGCGGTCTGACGGTTCCGTGCTCGCCGTCGCCGCCTCGTCGCTGCCCCGTCGCCACCCTCCCGCACCCGCAGCCAGAGTTATCGACGCCCTTTGGGGCACTGCGGTGTGTGTACATGTGTATATATACATATGTATATATGCTCCATCGTTCATTTTGGAATATGACTACATACTGTCGCTTTCGTGCCCGGACAGAACACCTGGGCGACACAACCCGAAGGGAGGTGCCCAAGGTGCCTGCATGAATTCACATGCAGTCGGACCTCGCAACATGAACGGCGGCACAGACCCGCCCCAGGCGTCACATCTGCGCCGCCGTTGCGAGGTGCCTCGAGATGCCACCCCGAGACACGGCCACCGGCACCACCCCCACTTGGCCGCCGGCCTCAAGCAGCGGAGGCCCCGCTGCCCAAGGACTTAAGTTTCCGCGCCCCCCACGTCGGGGGACCCCTTCGAGTAACCCCATCGGGCCTCTCAAGGGTGGTAGGGCGGGCCCACACCTCCTGTGGCTGGCCAACCACAGGGCAAGAGTCTCTCCCACAACCCCGTCGAGCTGTGGTGACGATCGGGCTGCCAACCCGCCTGTTTTCCTGGGACGCCACGAGGGCACCCAGCGGCACAGGTGCCACTTCATACTGTCCCAGCCAGGCTGGCTTCGACCCCCCCTCGACATCCTTCTCAAATCTGCCGACCCTGTCGGCGTGTGTGAGGTGCTTGTCTGTTCGAGTCGTCGTCTCCGTCAGTCGTCGTCTCCGTCGTCCCTTTTCCCTGCGCCATCCCCCACAAGCTTGTCAGCGAGAGAAAATCTAGCAATGTAGTAATCGAGTCGAAGAGAAGCACCTTCCCTTTGACCCCTCCCCCGTCCGGGGGGCGGGTCCCGGGAGGGTCCCAGAGGGGGCGGGGTCAGATACGCATCCCCCCCTGGGGGGCTCGGGGCCTCAGAAAGTATCAAGACAAGCCAAGAATGCCCCAAGATGCCCCAGAGACGGTCCAAGAGGGTCCCGCATCGATAAAGGATCTGTCCAAAACGCATTCGCGCCCTCCAGACTGCCCATGAAGCCTCCAGGACGCCCCAGGGGGCCCCGAAACAACCCAAGAGGATCCCAAGACAGCCCAGAACGCCTCCAAGACGGCCCAAGAGGCACCCAAGACGGCCTCAAGAGCGTGCCCAGACGGGGGACCCGAACGGACACTTCGAGCCCTCGGCCCCAAGAGGCTCCCAGAAGGCCCCAAAAGGTTCCCAAGAGGCCCCAAGAGGCCCACAAGAGGTCCCCAGGAAACCCGAAGAGGCCCCCAAGAGGCTCCCACGATGCCCCCACGAGGCTCCCAAAAGGCCCCGAAATTCTTCTCCAGAGGCCCCTCAGAGGCTTCCGAAGAGACCCCAAGAAGCATCCCTGAAGACTCTGGCCCACGTTAGCGTCGTCGTCGTTGCCGCCGCCGCCGTTGTCGTCGTCATCGTCGTCTCCCTTCAGGGTCGGCAGCACCGGCCGTAAGGCCTTCGTAATAATACGATGCGCGCACCCGTTTATATCATTATCGGCTTGGGGACCCCTTGCAAACAATGAGACAAAATGCACGCGCGCGTCGTCGTCGCGCGCGCCTCTCGAAAGCCTGCAACAGCTCACGTTCCGTAGCGATGTCAAGGCCGAGATCCCTGAAGACACGTAAGCGCAATGTGTTTTTTTGCATCATTCGTTTTTTTTTTCAAAATATCTGCGCGCTTTTTTTGCGAATCCCTATGAAAACCATAGGTGTGTCAACACCTTCGCCACATGGGGCCCCGCGGGCCTCTCGCGCGCACGTCGAAATCCTTCGAACGCCGCGTCGCCCTTGCAGGGGGGGGCGAGTGGCCCACATTATGTGGGCCACTCGCGCGTCGGCAGCGCGCGCATGTCGAAATCCTGCCAGAGCCTTCTTCACCGACACGCGGACACCATCATCGTCACTGGCGTGACCAGCGTCGGCGCCGTCATTGCCTCTGCCGTCGTCATCGTCAGAATCGTCACCATCACCACTACTACCATCATCGTGTCCGTTGGGGTCGAAGTCACCATGAGACCGTGCCTGCCAGAGTCACCGTCTCGCACTGAAATTTCCGCGCGCCAACACGGCCTTCGAGACGTGCTGGGAACTTCCCGGCGGTCGGCGCAACCGCGCGCCAAACTAGCCGGCCGCTCTGCGCGCAATTGCGCGCGCTAAGTTGCACAACGCCGTTTGCCCATAAATTGCACCACGTTGATTGCACAACATGAACGGCACCACACAGATTGCACCACATCTGTTCACAACCTAGATTGCACCACGTAGGTTGCCCCATAAATATTGCACGCCATATTA